ACCACTTGCCCAAACGTCTGAATTTTGATCACGTGACCCTGGGGATGCTGCAACCGTCGTAAGTATGAAAAATGGTCATAAGTCGCTTTTTTCAGTGCCGTTGTAATTTTAAACGGTCACTAAATGAACTATTGTAAATTGAAGACTACCTGTAATTAAAAACACACAAAATGGAGCAGCTCAGAAATAACCCTCAGAATAGGCAAGGTGAATGGAGAACTGTTTTCTGTCTCCAGCAGTTAAAGACTGCTGAAACGCAAAGACTTTTCTGTTAGGTTAGGAGAAATCACAGCTACAGTAAAGTCTGCCACAGTCCTATCCTATCAAACAGGTTTTCTACCTGTGCCCATGGAGGCTATCCTCGGATGTTTTGAAGAGGTCGCTTGTTTTTTCCCACCTGCACCTCGACACAAAACGGTAGCACTGAAGAGGACCTCAAGAGACTTAGATGCTATCTGAGAAAGTACATCTTCTTTCAGAGAATTTCCCCCCCTCCCAAAATTAAAAGGTCACGAGATCATGCTTTGATGGAAGAAAACAAGCCAAGCAGAGCAAGCAACAGGTTAACTGATTTGCTTTGGCTAAATTGGTGTTCAATTTACCTATACTGCTAAAAACCAAAACCAAAAACTAGGCAAGATTGTCGCCGTTTCTCCAAAGCACCAAAAGGCAGGACAAGAAACAACCGATGGAAGCTTATAAAGGGGAGATCCAGCGTAGAACTAAGGATAAATTTCCGGATGGTTAGAACAATTAATCAATGGATCGACTTGTCTCCCGGAGTTCTGGGTGCTCCCTCCCTGGAGGATTTTAAGAAGAAATTGGACAGTCACTTGTCCCAACTCGTATAAAGTCTCCCTGCTTGAGCAGGAGGATGGACTTGAAGACCTCCAGGGTCCCTTCCAGCCCTTTTATTCGATGTTCTATGTTCATTTTTAAACCACATCTTTTGTATAAAGAGCCACATTTAAATAGGTTATTTAATTTCTTGTTATAGGATCAGAAACAAAAGGAATATTTTTCAAGGAAAATACATGTCTCTTTTATTTGGCTGTTCACTCATTAAACATTCCCCTTCCTGAAGAACAGAAGACCCAAACTGTCGTCCAGTTTACGTTCTTAGTTAAAACCAAAAAAAACTGCATTTGTCCATTTAATTAAGTGAAGGTCAATTTACTTTTGAGTGATAGCTCTATGATCTTGGTGACAGATCTAAGATTGGGCTGAACGCGACTCAGGAAAGCTATGACAGTTCCTCCCCTCCCCTATCTCTTTCAGTTTGTAGATGTTTCTCTTTCTTTCTTTCTTTCTTTCTTTCTTTCTTTCTTTCTTTCTTTCTTTCTCTTTCTTTCTTTCTTTCTTTCTTTCTTTCTTTTTCTTTCTTTCTTTCTTTTTCTTTCTTTCCACTTGTCTACCTTCCTTCCTTCCTTCTCTACCTCCCATCCCAGCCTGCCTGCAAGGGATGGGGGCTTCTAAGCTTTAAGATAAGACATTTTTAAAAGAAGCAGGAAAATAAAGAAGGATGACTGGAAGAACCCGAGATTGTGAAGTATCTATTTGTATTGCTATTGTCCAACGTTAGGCTACTTTAAAATAGCTGGCTAGATGCATCTTTTAAATAAACAAACGAATGAATGAATGAAATAGCCCTAAAGAAAGTAGGGAACGTGTCAGATTTGGAATAAGCTTACCTCAAAGTAAGAAGGGAAGAGGGAAGCACTGAGGTTCTGGGGTGAGGTCAGAGCAGCAGCTTAAAGGGAGATATGCCAGAATTAGTCCTGGACCTGAAGGCAGAATTCACAGAGCTATTTGGGGACAGTTCCTCACAGCCTATCCTACCTTGCAGGCTTGTCGTTGCTGGGATAAAAACAAGCGTAGGTCAAAGAGCATACCAAAGGTAGAACTTATTTATTTGATTTTTTTATCCCACCTTTATTACTGAATCAGTAAAGCAGCAAACCTACTTAAAACTCCCTCTTCTGCCTGTTTTCCCCACAACAACAACTCTGTGAGGTGAGTTGGGCTGAGGGAGAGAGGGGGGCACTGGCCCAAAGCACCTTCAGAGGTGCCGAGACGCCCCAAATCTCCCTAGAGCGCAGATGGTCTTTTCTTTCTGGTTAGTGACCGCAATAACCTTATTTTATTTGGGTGTTTTATTTCTCTCTTTCTTCCTACCAGAAAACCGAGATCCACCGAGAATTAACCTGGATTCGTGACCCCAAAACTGTGGCTGTTCCTCAGCTCCTCCACCACCACCACCCCGACTTCCTGGGGGCCGAGAATTCCCTTCCCCCCCCTCAGGAGCAGCACGATGAAGGGGCCAAGCTCCTTCTCCGGTGGGGTAGAATTAAACGCTCTGATTCCAAGTCGTTTGGAAGATGGGGCCTGGGGGTGGGGATGGGGGGGCACGGGAGAGAGGGAGAAACTTCCCTGGAGTTAGCTTTGATTTGGCTGAGATTTGGAAAGAAAGAAAGAAAGAAAGAAAGAAAGAAAGAAAGAAAGAAAGAAAGAAAGAAAGAAAGAGAAAGAAAGAAAGAAAGAAAGAAAGAAAGGGAAAGCAAAGGGAAAGGAAAGAAGAAAGGAAGGAAGGAAGGAAGGAAGGAAAGAAAGAAGAAAGGAAGGAAGGAAAGAAGAAAGGAAGGAAGGAAGGAAAGGAAAGGAAAGGAAAGGAAAGGAAAGGAAAGGAAAGGAAAGGAAAGGAAAGACCTATTTAAGAACCGAGTCCCGCGTCTCTGGCCGAAAGTCAAACCGCCCGCAGGAATTGCTTACGAGGCGGTTCGCAAACCGGCAAGGATCCGAAGTGAAATCGGTTTTGACCAGGGATGGTTCCGAGGACCTTCCTGGGCGAGTTTTCTGGAACTAAAGAGCCTGCGCTTCGGTCCGTCCGTCAGTCTGCCCGTCCGCCTGGCCTTTTTCTCTTTCTCCCAATTCTTTGCTAATTTCTCCCCCCCCCCCCCCCCCGCGTAAAAAAAAAAAACCCAACCCTGGCTAGCTTGAGCCTTGTTCCCCGGGCAGGGCTTGGGAGTCGAGCTCCGAATTCCTTTCCCAAACCCCAGCTTAATTCACCCTTCGAAACAAAGCATGGTTAAAGGGATCAATTAAACCTTTACAATCCCGAGGCCCGTAGACGGAGGAGTGGCAGATATATATATATTGTTTTGAAAGACTAACTTCTCCCCAGATTCGGAGCGGCTCTGGATCCCGCGTCCTTCCAGCTTCCCGGCATAGCGGATTATGGACCCTCCCGGCTGGGCCTTATTGGCAGAGAAGTCCCCCAACCGGGACAGGTCTCCCCAGCCGCGGCTGCCGCGCGGAAGGCGAGGTTTCCAATCCACGCGCGACAGGGGTTCCCCACGGAGGTTGGAAGCGGCTGCCTACCGCTTCTCCTTCACTCTAAGCCCGCCACAGGCCCAGATTCCCTTCTCGGGAAGCCAGAGACCCCTTCCCTAAATCTCGGCGGCGTCATCTGGCCTTGCTCTGTCGAGATTAAACTTTTATATGTTTCACGGAGGTCCCTAAAACCGAATTAAGTCCCTAGAGAGGAAGCGGCTCGTTTGAGATTCAGAACGGCAGCCTAGATTAGAAGGTCCGGTTTAAATATTTCGGTGGGCCCGGCCTAAGCCTAACCTAAAACTCTGAAAAGTCCACTGACACCCAACCAGCCATCCCACCCATCCACCCGCGAATCCGAAAACAGAGATTTTCTTCCCCGCATACAGGATCTAGTCTGCAATGCCCCCAAACTGCAGCTTTCCAGACTGGAGAGTAGGAATTGTCAGGAAATGGCAAAAATTGACACAAGATGCGCTTTTGTTTCAAAGGAGAAATAAACAGCACGGGTTTATTATTCTTATTTGTCCAAAGGAATGAATACAACAATTGAAGACCACATAAAATCAAAGCGATGTGAGGAAAGGCTCAAAAAAAAAAAAAAAAAAGGAAACGGGACTCTATTTTACAAGAAAAATAAAATAAAGCTCACCTCTGTTTTTTCTTTCCCCACTTTTTTTTTTAAAAAAAGTATTTGGTTTGCCCACCCTCCTCTTTTTATTATTCCACTTTTGGGGGGCAGGAAATATTCAACAAGGAAGGGAAAAATAAATTATTCATATAAAAAAGACTAACTTTAAAAAGAAGGGGATTTTTTTTTTAAAATGCAAGTTTGTACATAAAACTAAAGAAATAAGAAGAAAAGTATAATTCATTTGGCAGCTGTGGGGGAGGGGGGCTGAGAGACGAATAATCCAGTGACCTCAACTTTAAATATTATATTAACGGCCCTGCACGGAAGCCCAATTCAAAAACCACACGTATTTACAACATTATAAATGGAATCATCCCCTCATTAACACAAAACCGACCATACCGAGACATATTATACATTTATATTTATATAGCGTATCCATTATTATTTTCTCCTTTTCAAAATTGTATGAGCTGTCCTCGTGGAATGGGCGATTTTACGTTGCCCCCTCATCGCCAACATACTGAATATCCATTTTGACTCATCTATTATTATTGCCGTTAGTATTTCTGTTCGAGAAAACCCCCCAGCCCAGGTCACGCTGTCCTTTTTCGTTTCTAGCGTTGGCTGTTTTATTTTCTTTTGCTTCCCCCCCCCTCTCCCACGACTGGAAAGATGAGTTGAAAAAAAAAATATCGAATTTTCGGGTCCTTTATTGACTTTGGACGGGAAAGGGGAGGGGGCGATTTTTCTTCCTTTTCTTTCTTTCTTTCTTTTTTTTGTCCTTTCTTTCTTTCTTTTTGCCCAAGTCTGTAAATCTGTTTTTTTTAAAAAACAAAACAACCAAAAAAAACCCCACCAAAACCCAAAACCACCAGAGTCAATTTGGTTGGCATTCCCCAACTACGTTTTAAAAACACAGAGGCCCGATTTTCCTTCTAGTCCGCCTGCTGCGTCGGGGGGCCGGGGGCCCCCCTTTCCCGGGTCTCCTCTGCCCCTCTGTCCCTCTGTCTGTCTGCTTAAACCCGGAGTCAGCTCAGTATTTAGCGCAGTCGTAGGAATAAGGGGCGGAGTGGCGGTAAATGGAGGGCGGAGCCCGGTAGGAGAGCTCGCAGGTGGAGTTGGGGCTCACCTGTTGCTCGTTCAGCGCCGTCGAGGTCTCTAAGCCCAGCCGGTGAGTGTTGAACATTTCCCGCACGTTGGGGAAGCTCTGCTGCTGGGCGCCGAAGGCGTGGCTGGGCAGCGGCTGGTTGATCTCCGACGCGTGGTTCAGGTACCAGGAGGCGGCTGCGGCGGCGGCGGCGGCGGCGGCGGCGGCGGCTTGCCCCGGGGCCTGGTGGTGCGGGAGGGGATGATGGTGGTGGTGATGCACGGGCTGGTGGTGGTGGTGGCTAGGAGGTAGGGAGGTCTCCGGCTGCTGCTGCTGCTGCTGTTGCTGCTGGCCCCCTGGCGCCAGGTTCAGGCCGGCCAGGGGCGAGGGGGCGCCGTTGGCCACTTGCGGCGGGGGCTCGGACAGCGAAGCCGCGGCCTCTTCCAGCGCCCCGGCGCCGCAGAGATGCGCGTTGCGCTCGCCCGTGTAGAGGCTCATGGCGCGCATGCTGCATTGGTAGCTGCCCCCCCCGGCCTCGCCCAAGCCCCCCTGGCTGCAGGCCTGGCTGTAGAGGGACGAGGCGGGCGCCGGGCCGTAGCCCAGAGGCAAGGAGGAGGAGGAGGAGGAGGAGGCGCAGAGGCCAGGCGGCGCCCTGCCCACGGGGCTCAAGTCGTCGCCGGGCGAAGTCCGCAGAGTCATGATGTTCTCCACGCTGAAGCCCGGCAACCCGTTGGCGGCGGCGTGGTGGTGCGGGTGGGCGTGGGGCTGGTGGGGCTCGCCGGGCAAGGAGCCCTCGGTGGAGAGCGAGCGCGTGGAGGCCACGCTGCGCGGGCTGTCCTGCAGGGCGCTGCCGCTCGCCGGGCTCAGCGTCTCCACCTTGGTGATGACGGGCAGCTCGGGCGAGGAGGCCTCGCTCTTGATGACCACCTTCTTCTCGGACGGGGCCAGGGCCGAGGCCGGGACGGGCGCCGAGGCCGGCGGCGGCGGCTCCTTGCCCAGCTCGGCGGCGGCCTTGACCGGCTCCTTGAGGTGTTTCTCCCGCAGGGTCTCCTCCTTGTCTTTGGAGACGTCTTTCTTCTTGAAGCGTCTCCGGCGGCGCAGGAAGGAGCCGTTCTCGAACATGTTGTAGGAATCGGGGTCCAGCGTCCAGTAGCTGCCCTTGCCGGGCTTCTTGTCGTCGCGCGGCACCTTGACGAAGCACTCGTTGAGCGAGAGGTTGTGGCGGATGGAGTTCTGCCAGCCCTGCTTGTTCTCCCGGTAGAAGGGGAAGCGCTCCATGATGAACTGGTAGATGCCGTTCAGGGTGATCTTCTTCTCCGGCGCGTTCTGGATGGCCATGGTGATCAGCGCGATGTAGCTGTAGGGCGGCTTCACCAGGTCCTTCGGAGCCTGGACCGGCTGGTGGCCCGGGTAGGGCCCGTAGGAGCGTCCCAGGCCGGCCGCGTACTGGTCCGGGTGGCCGGCGTAGACCCCCAGCGAGCTGGCCATGCCCCCATAGGTGCCCGCCGTCCGGTAGTAATTCTGCTCGCTCAAATAGGGTACCACTCCCAGAGCGTTGGGATCCGAGACGGAGTAGCGAGCCTGCATGGTCGTCCCAGCTCCGGGAGGGCGAGGAGGCCTCCCGCCGCCGCCCTCCCCCAAAAAGTAAGGGCGCGGGCCCGCCCAGGAAAGCCGGCCCCCGTGACAAGGGGGCGCCCTGCTCCGGAGACCCCCGAGCCTTTCCACAGACTCCTCTCCTCGGCTCTGGGTTAAGAGGCCCGCCGAGCTGAGCCCGCTTGCTTCATATTCAGACCTTCTGCAAAAGGGTCGGAAAGCTCCGGTCTCTGCTCCTCGGCCGCTCGCTCGCCTCCTCCCACCCTCCCCCCGTCGTCAAAGTGCAGGAGGAGGGCGAATGTGTTCCTGGAGAAAATGATGGAGGGAATGAGGGGGGGGGCGGTTGTAAATAGAAACCCCGGCAGGTCCGAAAGATCTAATCTGCTCGCGCTGCCGTCAAGACGAGGGGGGGGGAGAGAGAAGGCAAAATTCTTGCAGAAAAATCAAAATCAAATAGCAGACCCAGAAGGAGGACCGAGGCAGACGCGGCGCTTGGCTGGGCCGGCTGGGCTTTTCTCTGTCCCCGACACGCTTTGCCTCGGCCGTCCCCGTCCCCTTCCGGGCGAAAAGTGAAGCGTGTCAACAAAAACAAGCAAGCGGCTCCGAATCAAAATAAACGGGGGCGCGCGCCTCTCCGGAGCCTGGGCAGCGCCCCGCGCGAAGCCGAGTCCCGCATCCAGGGGCCGGGAAAAAAGTTTTCCAAAGTTCTCTTGGGCCGGGCCAGTTTTGACTCCTCGCTGGCCCCTCCCTCCGCCGCCGTCCAATGACAGCCGGCTCGGGGTCCGGCTCGGCCAATGGGCGAGGCGGAGGAAGGCGCCGTGAGGACACCGGGATTCCGGGGAGCACCCCGGGGTTAGGCGCTGGGCTGGGGAGGCCTCGCCGGACCCCTCGGGGCTCTTAACGGGGGAGACAGAGGCGAAGGACGGGCGAGAAGGCAGCGCTGGCTGAGTCCGTCCTTTGGGGAGGGGGGGGTCGAGGGGCGACCCTTCCCCCTCCCTGCCCCAAAGTGTCACCCTTCTTAAACCATCATCATCATCACCCTCCTTAACCACCGTAACGATTAACCTCCCCGATCCTGGATGGAATCTCTCAGCCGCTCAGCGCGAGGCGGAGGGGAATCCGCAGAATTTCAGAAGAGACCTTGGACTGTCACTGGCCTGAAATGGGATAGGTTCTCCTGCTTGAGCGGGGCGGGGGGGGGCTGGACTAGAAGACCTCTAAGGTCCCTTCCAGCTCTATTCTATTCTATTCCTGCGTCCGGCCATCCGAGTTCTGGCAGCGCGAAGCTTTTCCTAAAAGAGAAAAGAAAGCGCTGGTTGTTGTATTTTGTGTGTGTGTGTGTGTGTTTTTGAAGCAGGTTCGGTTTCAAAGGCCAGCCCGCCGGTTCTCCATCCGGACCCCGACCCTCCTCCACAGGCAGCCCCGGTTCTGAAAGGTGCGGGAGAGAAGCGAGCGGCCAGGGCCGCCTCCCCCCCCCCCGGGGGGAACCTCGCTCCCCCGCATCAGCTCATTGGGGTGAAGAATTCCGAAGAAGCTTATTTAGCACTTCGGTTCTAAACTCAATTAACACCTCCGTCCTAAAGACCTGGAATTAAGGGACTGGGGGGGGGGCTCCTCCGAAAAGGAGGAGTTTTGCGCAAAGGATCGCGCCTGGAATGAAATGCGCTGATTTTTCTTCCCAAGCAGGCAAACGGGCTTAATTAAGCCTTGCACAGATAACGGGGCTGAATATTATTCTGCTAAATTTGGCCTGCATCTCCTCCTCATCGCCTTTTTCCCCACCTTCCTTCCCCCGCTCCCCCCCCAGGGGGGCCCTCCACCCCTTGATTGTTCCATTAGAGAGTCTCAGGGCCGGATAATTAACCCGATGTGATTTTTGTGCCTTTTTCGAGTTGGCGAGAATTCCGTTCGTTTGGGTAGCAAACAGGGAATCGGTGGTAGGGAAAAGCCACGGCTGAAAGTGTTTTATCATCTCTTGCGCGTCCCCCCTTTTTTAAAAAAAGGGTGAAATAAGGAGAAATTGAACCAAATTTTTTGGGGGAGGGGAACGTATTCCAAACTCTCTCCTATATTTTTGCAAACTTTTTTTTTTTTCCCCCAGAACTTTTCCTGACTCTTTTAGCAACGCGCTTAGCTCGGCAGGACGTTTCCTAAGCAGCTAGGTAGATTTGGAAGGAATTGCGTCTGTGATTGTGTGGACTTTTCTCGCACGGATTGTGTCCCACTGCAAAATTTTCAAAGGACGAAAAAATGAAACGGGTGGAGGCGATGCCCGCTTGTTTTCTGAGGGGTTTCCCAATTTTAGAAGCGGTGGTTTTAATCCATTAAGCACAAGCTTCTAAAATGAAAACAAATTTAAAATGGTCTATACCCTATGCCTTTTTAAAAACGTATTTATTTATAATAAAAGGAAGGGTTTTTTTTTTTTTACTCAGGAGTTCAGAGTCGTTTATATTTGGGGAAGTGAAGCTGGGAAACTACAGCGCTTCAGTATGAAAGTTACAAAGAAGAAAAAAACCAGCTTCGGAAAATCTGACTTCTTTTGAGGAAGAACTCAGAGGAATATTTGTATTTTCAAATGCAGGAAACTTGAGGGCCAATTATTTAAACTAAAAGGAAGCTTGCTAAAATGATTGGAAAATCCCTTTACAAAATCGAAATCCCTTTTTCGATTTTTCTCCCGTGATTTTTTTTCCGGGGGGGGGGGAGAGAAGGAGGCGTCTTTCTGTGAGAAGACAGAGCAAAGAGATGAAAAAAGTTAAATAAATTAGTAATGTTAAATTAAATCGAGAAAAGGTTACATTTGCAATGTTCTTAAAAGCTTTCCTTTGTTCTGCTTTACTTGATGATAAGGATTAATCCAGCCTTCCAATGTCTAATTAAATATTGGTCAAAAATATGAATGAAATAATTGGGAAATGAACTAGAAAGGACAGGCAGAAATGAGGGGGGGAGGATCTAATTATGCATGAATCGTTATCATAATCACGTCCTGTAAAAGACCTTATAGAATTTTTCAAAGGGGAAAGTAAGTTTTCTTCTGGTGGAGAATAAATGATCTTACTTGCTCTACCTGCATGGCTAATTTTCTGGAAAGGACGTTTGGATTCAATTACCCAAAATAAAAGAAAGATATTTGTTGCTTTCTCTTAAATTACACGATATTTTTTTTTTAAAAAAAGAAACCTTTTGTCTTTTAAAATAAAATTCCTACAGTCACATGCGCTCGCATAATTATTGATCCTAAATGACACCACCTGTCTTGTAAATTAAAAATACGTGGCCCTTTCCCCGCGCGAGCGAGTTTGGCAAAGGGTAGCGGCGCGCAAACTTCCCACTCCTTCCAAGGATGAAAAACACGCAGCTGCGTCGGTCAGCGCCATTTAGCATCTTCACGCACCTCGCTTCCTTTCCATTCCCTGCCCTGTGGAATTGTTTCAAGAATGCGGAGCCCTCGAGGGGTCCGGGCGAGGAGAACCGCGCCGCTTTGCCCACAAAAACCCTGGAAATAGGTAATTCAGCGTAATCGTCAATACTGCCGGCGGAGCCGCCGCGATTGTCAGCAATCATCACGCCTGGCGTTTACTGTCCTCTAGAGGTCAAAAGAATGAATTGTAATCCTTTTTTGGAAAAAAAAAGTTTAGTCTCTTTGAAGATAGTGACACCTCGTGTATGGACTGTGATAGTACACACAGAGAGAGAGAGTGTGTGTGTACAAATAGCAAATAGCTATGAGGCGTGTTGGCGTCTGTAGGGAGCAAAGCTTCCGACACGCGTTGAGAGTTGCCCAAGGTGAACATTCCAAAATGTTACAAAAGAGGACTCCGCTTTCCCGAACTCTTAGCCAAGCAAGATGCTAGGAAGAGAGGAGGGAGAAGTCGGAGTAATTTGTCACCCCTCCCCCCCCCCCAAAAAAAATAGTGGGGCTAACTTTGAAATGGGGAAGATCCCCTACTCCCAGAGAAGAAACATGGAGGAAAGAAGGAAGGAAGGGAGGGAGGAAATGAGGGGAAGGAAGTTGAAATAGGAAGAAAGGAAAGGAAAGAAGGGAAGGAAGGAAGGAAGGAAGGAAGGAAGAGAAGAAATGAGGGGAAGGAAGGGAAGGGAAGGGAAGGGAAGGGAAGGGAAGGGAAAGAAAGGAAGGAAGGGAGGGAGGGAGGGAGGGAGGGAGGAAGAGAAGAAATGAGGGAAAGGAAGTTGAAATAGGAAAGAAGGAAATGAGGGGAAGGAAGCTGAAATAGGAAGAAAGTAAAGAAAAGGAAGGAAGGAAGAAGGAAGGAAGGAAGGAAGGAAGGAAGGAAGGAAGGAAGGAAGGGAAGAAATGAGGGGAAGAAAGGAAGGAAGGAAGGTAGAGACGAAACGAGGGAAAGGAAGTTGAAATAGGAAGGAAGGGAAAGAAGGAAGGAAGGAAATGAGGGGAAGGAAGTTGAAATAGGAAGAAAGGAAAGGAAAGAAGGGAAGGAAGGAAGGAAGGTAGAGAAGAAATGAGGGAAAAGAAGTTGAAATAGGAAGGAAGGGAAGGAATGAAGGAAAGGAAAGAAGGGAAGGAAGGATTTAAACTTTGCAGTATCTCCTTTCCCGAAAATCTAGCGGTTCGCAGGCGGAAAGGATGCTGACCCCACAGCGAGGCGACCCTTCGATCCTGCCCAGCCGCCCTGGGGGGGGGGGGGGATACTGAGCGGCAGGAGACGCTGGATGGCTTGTCCCCCCTCGGCTGCCATAGTCAGAGCAAGCACGTGGCCGTGGGAGCGCAGGGGCGGCGCTACAATGTCGCTGACGGATGAAGCGCTCGGATCCACCGTAACTGGCTTCCGAGGCTTTGATCTCGCTCTGGAGGTTGCCCCCGACCAGGAACATGGAGCGGATGGGGAGCTCCGGTAAGAGGAAGGATTGTATAGGAGGAGAAGGGAGGCAAAGGAGAGGAGCCGACCTTTAGCTCGGCGGGCAGAAGACTCGGGGACTGAGCCGCCTCTCTGCCCGCATCTGGGCGCATTCTCACGAACTAGCCTGCTATTTGTTAGGAATAACATTTTAGAATAGAAAGTAAAGCTAAGTGACACGTACTCTGTAAAATTTCTACACGCAGACAGTAAGATTTCTACACAAAATTTCTACACGTAGACGGCAAGATTTCTACACAATTTCTACATGTACACGTACCTTGGAAGAGTTCTGCACGCAGGCTATAGGATTTCCACACTGAGCTGTAGGATTTCATGATAAAGTACATATAAGGGAATAGGTGAAGCAAAATAGTAAGGGGCAGGGATAATGTATTTTGTTTAGGCGGCTCTGATAAGATTGTAACCTCAGAGGAGGGGCCAAGGCGTCGGGGATAGAATGTATATAATGTGTGTCTTTTGTTGTGTCTAGGTGTGGCTCAAATATTTATTTGGAGTCCACCACGCTTTGCAAACCATTGTATCCAATAAATCTCTGTCTAATTTCAACTTGCTGTTTGGTGTTATTCAGTGGGCTAGAATTTCTACCAACACTATCGCATCAGAAATGTGCGGGCCCTGCCGATGTATTTAGCTGATGGGTCCCTGCGTGAGGTGGCTTCCGTTANAGGGAAGGGAAGGGAAGGGAAGGGAAGGGAAAGGAAGGAAGGAAGGAAGGAAGGAAGGGAGGGAGGGAGGGAGGGAGGGAGAGAAGAAATGAGGGAAAGGAAGTTGAAATAGGAAAGAAGGAAATGAGGGGAAGGAAGCTGAAATAGGAAGAAAGTAAAGGAAAGGAAGGAAGGAAGGAAGAAGGAAGGAAGAGAAGAAATGAGGGGAAGGAAGGAAGGAAGGGAAGAAATGAGGGGAAGAAAGGAAGGGAGGGAGGGAGGAAGGAAGGAAGGAAGGAAGGAAGGGAAGAAATGAGGGGAAGAAAGGAAGGAAGGGAAGAAATGAGGGGAAGAAAGGAAGATAGGGAAGAAATGAGGGGAAGGAAGGAAGGAAGGAAGGAAGGAAGGAAGGAAGGAAGGAAGGAAGGAAGGAAGGAAGGAAGGAAGGAAGGAAGGAAGGAAGGTAGAGACGAAACGAGGGAAAGGAAGTTGAAATAGGAAGGAAGGGAAAGAAGGAAGGAAGGAAATGAGGGGAAGGAAGTTGAAATAGGAAGAAAGGAAAGGAAAGAAGGGAAGGAAGGAAGGAAGGAAAGTAGAGAAAAAATGAGGGAAAGGAAGTTGAAATAGGAAGGAAGGAAGGGAAGGAAGGAAGGAAAGGAAAGAAGGGAAGGAAGGAAGGATTTAAACTTTGCAGTATCTCCTTTCCCGAAAATCTAGCGGTTCGCAGGCGGAAAGGATGCTGACCCCACAGCGAGGCGACCCTTCGATCCTGCCCAGCCGCCCTGGGGGGGGGGGGATACTGAGCGGCAGGAGACGCTGGATGGCTTGTCCCCCCTCGGCTGCCATAGTCAGAGCAAGCACGTGGCCGTGGGAGCGCAGGGGCGGCGCTACAATGTCGCTGACGGATGAAGCGCTCGGATCCACCGTAACTGGCTTCCGAGGCTTTGGTCTCGCTCTGGAGGTTGCCCGCGACCAGGAACATGGAGCGGATGGGGAGCTCCGGTAAGAGGAAGGATTGTATAGGAAGAGAAGGGAGGCAAAGGAGAAGAGCCGACCTTTAGCTCGGCGGGCAGAAGACTCGGGGACTGAGCCGCCTCTCTGCCCGCATCTGGGCGCATTCTCACGAACTAGCCTGCTATTTGTTAGGAATAACATTTTAGAATAAAAACTAAAGCTAAGTGACACGTACTCTGTAAAATTTCTACACGCAGACAGTAAGATTTCTACACAAAATTTCTACACGTAGACGGCAAGATTTCTACACAATTTCTACATGTACACGTACCTTGGAAGAGTTCTGCACGCAGGCTATAGGATTTCCACACTGAGCTGTAGGATTTCATGATAAAGTACATATAAGGGAATAGGTGAAGCAAAATAGTAAGGGGCAGGGATAATGTATTTTGTTTAGGCGGCTCTGATAAGATTGTAACCTCAGAGGAGGGGCCAAGGCGTCGGGATAGAATGTATATAATGTGTGTCTTTGTTGTGACTAGGTGTGGCTCAAATATTTATTTGGAGTCCACCACGCTTTGCAAACCATTGTATCCAATAAATCTCTGTCTAATTTCAACTTGCTGTTTGGTGTTATTCAGTGGGCTAGAATTTCTACCAACACTATCGCATCAGAAATGTGCGGGCCCTGCCGATGTATTTAGCTGATGGGTCCCTGCGTGAGGTGGCTTCCGTTA